TAACAATTCTGTTTCCCTGAGTAAAAATTCTGTGTCCCTGAGTAACAATTCTGTGTCCCTGAGTAACAATTCTGTGTCCCTCAGTAACAATTCTGTGTCCCTCAGTAACAATTCTGTGTCTGTCCCTGAGTAACAATTCTGTGTCCCTGATTAACAATTCTGTGTCCCTGAGTAACGATTCTGTGTCCCTAAGTAACGATTCTGTGTCCCTAAGTAACGATTCTGTGGCCCTAAAGTCTCTCTGGCCCTAACTCTGTCCCTAATACAGACAGGTCTGTCTCTCTTGAATGACCGCAGGCTAATGGAGAATTGTAAGATGGCCGCAATTTATAGCTCCACCATTACACAGTGCTGGCTGGCTGGCTGCTGATTGGCTAATGCGATCACATGTCATGAATGAATGCATTATGGGTCAGCGCGCCTTGTCTGCGCGCCTTCCCAGAGATCCCCGCTCCGTCGCCACACATGTCGCCGCCATTTTTGGGAAAATTCGATTCGTGCATCCGAAGTTGGCTAATTTTCGGATTCGGCGCGAATCGAATATTTCCCAATATTCGAAACGAATTCCACTTCGCCATGTTCGATTCGCTCATCTCTAGTCACAATGTTTGCTCATTTGCAATCATCTGAAATAAGTTCCTCTGAATCTTTTTCTTCTGTATTGCTGGTCCACAGTGTACTAATATTGTATTCTTTCAATTGATTTTTTTCCCTAGGTGCATTATTTTGCATTTTAAAACACTGAACTGCAGTTTCCACTGCTTTGACTAATCTTTCAGCAAAGCCAAATCATGTCCCATGTTACAGACACCTGCAGGAATATTAACCCTATTGCACACATCTGTGCCATCAGCAAACAGACATACCTTACCCAACAAACCTTTAGCTACAGTATATCATTTACATCAAATATAACAGGACCTAGTGCAGAGCCTTCTGGTATACTACTGGTCTCTATATTCCGAATTAACCCCATTTACAACCACACTCTGGTATTTATCCTTTATCCAACTGCTTATCCACTGAACCACCCGAGGGTTAAGTCCTAGCTAGTACAACTTTTTTTTTATTAGATCATTATGTGGAACTGTATCAAATGCTTTGCTGAAATAAAGATAGGCTATGTCCACAGCACCACCCTGGTCCAAAATATTAGTTATATAGTCGAAAAATTCAATCAGTCTGACATGATCTTCCCTCAGTAAAGCCATGCTGCTTTGGGTCCAGCAAGTTAATTTGTGTTTTTTTTAAGAGATCAGTGTTCCTTCTTCTTAGGACTGATTCCATTAACTTGACTACGACAGCTGTTAAACTCACTGGCCTGAAACTGCCAGCTTCTACCTTTCTAGCCTTCTTGTGGATAGGTACAATATTAGCCGTCCGCAAGTCATTGGGAACTTCTACTGTTAGAAGTGATCGATTGAAAAGATTTGTAAATGGTCCAACAACTATACCACAAAGTTCTCTTAGAACTCTAGGATGAATACCATCAGGGCCCTTTTTTTTGTAACATCCGGTTTTGTGTACGCACAAAAGTGAAAACTCAAAAAAGTGCAGAGGGTATACACATGGTCCTCCCAGAGAAAGGACCCTTACAATGATCCTCTGGGGCTCGTGACAGAGACTGAGGTACTCACTGGTCCATCTGGCTGAAACAAGGTGAGCCCCTTTCTTCGGGAGGCCTACCGAAACAGGCCAACCTCAAGTACTAGGTGAGGCTCTCCCACGTGCCCTCCCCCCAAGACTTTCAGAGCAGGCCTAAGGACCTACACCCTACTATTTGGCAAGTGATCAAGTGCATACTGTGCTGTGCAAAAAGTGCAGTGACATACATACATAACTTTGAATGAGTGACGCATCTGTATTGAGCAGAGCCCTGCACATCAATGTTCTTTTAAATTTGACAGCTAGCGAGGGGGGAGAAGATTACCTGCTAGCTGTCAAAGCGGGGATCGGGGGGGAGCAGGGGAAAGTCTGATCGTAACATGTTACATGATACACCCTGAATATGGGTGTAACATGTTACGAAAGGTGAACTTATCCTTTAATGTCAGGCATGTTGAAGTCATCCATAATTAAAACCTCTCCCTTCATTTCTGTTTCAGTTATCTCAAGTTATCTTAATCTTCAGTCTGTATACTAAGTCTGTATACTAAAACAATTCTAGGGTAGGTCCCTCTCTGATTGGAAGGCAGACCCAGAAGGTGCAAAAGTATTTCATTTGTGTTTTTAATTAATGTTTGCCTTATGCTATTTTTGACATATAGGCCAACTCCACCTCTCCTCTTCCCTACTCTGTCTTTCCTATATAGTGTGTACCCTGGTATAGTTATTTCCCAGTAATTTGAATCCTTGGACCATGTCTTTGTAGTTGCAACAGGATCCAAGTTGTTCCTAGACATAAGAGCTGTCAGAGCACAAAGCTTGTTGCCTAAACTATGAGCATTAGTGCACATGGCATGACAAATACTACAATCTACTGCTTTATTTTTAGCACCAGAAATTTTAACTGACATAACGATCCCATCAGCCCAGTCCTCAGCACCACAAACTCTCACATTTGTTTTAACCTGCTTGGGACAGAAATTAAATCTCTGCTCCCGTTTCTCAGTTTAAACAAATGTCCAAAATAACTCCTGAATTCCATACTAAGAAGCTCAGGGCCCTTGTGTGAGGGATGCAGACCATCTCTTTTGTACAGCTCAATATTAGACCACCTGCTGGCACCATAACAACCATAATCAAAACCTTTAGCGTTGCACCAAATCTTTTACCCAGTTATTGAACTCTTCTATATGAAGTACTTTCCTTTGTTGTGCTTTATGGACAGGTAAGACCTCTTACAATATAAGAGTACACCCTAACCAGTGAAGATCCTGGCCCAAATTCTGAAATTCATCTTGTACAGAACACATCATTCTTGGACAAATTATTTGTGCCAAGGTACACAACATCGACATTGCACTCTTCAGTTGCTTTTTGATAATAACATCTAAATGGATTTCAGCTTTGAAAATTCTATTTGTGGAATTGGTGCAACAAGAAATGTGTAAGACTTCCCCATACACCTACCAATATTTCCCTCCTTACTTTCCATCTCTCTCTCCCTCTCCTTTATTCTCTTATCTTTGTAAGCATATCCGGCAATGGGCCATTATTAATCTTCCCACTTCCCACTCTTCCCACTCTTTCTCGTAACTGCCTTGAATACTTCCCAGCATGGGAATTGAAAGCTCAATGATGATAAAACCAAATCCTAGATTTTTCTTCCTCTCTAAACCTACTCCTCCTCCTCCCTTTTTTCCTCCCTGCCTTCCTTCTCCCCCAACTGAACCTGGGAATACTGGGTACTACGGTGTCACAATCTCTTCACCTCAACTACTAAACCTCTGAATGTTTTTATACAACCATAAGACACTTTATTTTACTTGTATTATCCTGTTTATTGGCTCATTGCATTTTTTTGAGATTAATTGTTAAAGCTTCAGTAACTGAATAAATGCATGTATTTTTTGTTAAAACTTAATAACAAATTATTGTTAAAAAATGTAGTAAGACTTGTATTAATTTGCAGCTGGTCCATGCTCACAATTATACTGTGAAATGGTAAAACTGAACATGTCTTTCTCCTCAGGTTCTTCATTACGCCTTATAGTGTATTTTGGTGTAACTAGAAGGATCTGGGCAGTGCTGGGACAAGGTCATCCAGGACCCAAGGCAATGATGCCAAACCAATGCCTGCAATGCAGACTTCTTGCGTTCTGGCTGTCCTTCCCTGGGTGCATAATGCCCTAATTGTTAGTAGCACTCAGTGCAGCATCCAACCCTGTCCTGTCGCAGCAACTGTCAGCCTCTTATAGACTTTTAAAGGCTGCTGGCAGTGGGGCTGGTTGGTGCTCCAGTGCCCTATGCTCACAACCAAATATGTGGCTTGGTGTACATGAGGCCTTAGTGAATTTAGTTAAGCTGTATTTACTTAAATTATCCAATTATGCACATGCATAATACCTACATTGTACTATTCTCTTGCACATCATTTGATATTTGGTAGTGGCCATAATGTCATCTTATTCAATGAGCTATGAGAAATTTCAATGTCAAATGTGAACATGCTATATTGCTTTAATAAATGCAGATACTACTGGAAGACATCAAAGAAAAAATATAATAGACTGGAATATTTTGGTCAATGGATCTACTGTTCCCTGATATTAGTGGCACATTGGAGGTGGGTGATACATATATATACAGTACATATAGTCATGTATATTACATTTCTATCATCCAAGATGGTGATTTTTCTATAGCCAGATAGTCAGTGTCTGACCACCATACTCATAAAAAATTGCCATGCAAACCAAGCATTAACTATACAATTACAAAAAAGCAGAAAAATACTGTGCTAGATTTTCTACTTATGTTGTAAAAATAACAGTAAAATATATGGCAAAAGTAGTACACATATCAGCATTCCTGAAAGTAGGCTCAGTTATGTTGGTCTTCTTCCATACAGTGCCTGGATCCGAGCGACGTCATCTTGTGGCAAGCGGTAACCTTCCGTGTTCACATAGCGATAGGTTGGGAACATCAAAGCTGAAGGATTGTTGGAGTGTTCTAGACCCAAGGAATGACCAAACTCATGTGCAGCAACTAGAAACAAGTTGAATGCTGCAAAAAAAAAAAAAAAATCCAATTTTTTTTTATCCAGGACATACTTAAAACATAACTGTAGGTTTATTATAGTTTATGATTAATGGCTAGGTAGACGGGTTGACTTTAGAACATTAGGACTGCAATTAACTCTTGCAGTGGTGTGTGCAGATCTGTGGTAAGGGAGAATTTTCAAATTTCAACTATGACAACTGAATGGATCTTCATTAATTGGAGAACCATTATTGAAACAGTGGTGCCTGGACCCAAGGTAAAAATACTGGGAGAGTTTCTCCACACTACCAAGTATAGCAAACAGGCCAAAAATTGGATATGACAACTACTTATGGCTGTAGCAATATATTTGATTTATTCATATACAAAAATATGAATGATATTTAAAAATACATACATAGTATTCCCACCCCCCCCCCCCCCACTAATGATCCCCCTCCTCCAGAATTCCTCCTCCAATTTAAAAACTATTCACCTGGCCCTGTACCCCCTGAACAAATGCCCCAGCAAATAGTAGGACCTTATACCCGCTGGCAAAGTGTTGGCCACAATGGGCTAGCTGATAATAGGGTCCAAATATAAATCCAATATAGGCTGTACTGCGGAATATTAATCACCACTGATAATAATGCCTGTAAGAAACGAATGATTCCTCTCCAATCAATGTCCAAATGCAATCACTGATACTGTAATTGTCCACTATATGATGTTTGATTATTATTTTGTGTGCCAGTGGAGTGCATCATGTCAGAAGTAGCAGAGATTTTCCTAGAAATTTTGTTCTAGTCCTCCAATAAGCTTGTAGCACAAGAAAAAAAATCTAATCCTAAATTGCTGGAAATGAAGGAAACCTGTTCAGCCTGAACTAGTGATGGCATGGGAAGCGCTTGAGCACATATCCACAGATACAGCTTCCCTGTTTGTACTACAGTATATTGTCGATGCATGTAAATAAAAGTGCAGCTGATATGACCCTGAGCAGTTAGGAGTGGAGTTCCTTGCATGCAATGGAGATGTATTCAATGAGCTGCCAAAAAGGCTGTATGGTATGCTGGAATCTCCCCGACTCCTCACCACCACAGCTTGTATCCAAGTCTGCAGGATGACAATGTATTATAAATTTTATTATAATAAAGGATGTATGCAGACATTGGCATCGGCACAAGTGAACTTAGGTGAATAGGACAGACAAGTGCATTAAGCCGGTCCAGGCTGGCATGCACTCCAGCCTATACCAGGGGGAGATGAGAGAATGGGGGGCATGCCCCATGACATCAATGTGTTTCACCCAGCCCACTCCAGAGCTTCATCAAGACATAGCTGTCATATCCAATTTTGGCTTGTTTGGTAGAATTTGCAGATTTCAAGGTAGGTGGGGGAACCCATACAGGATTTTTTCATTATACCTGTACTTTTAAAGGTTGATGTCTCAGTGCTGCTACAGCACCAGTTTTGTAGGGGAGATCTTCTGGGGCCACTTTATTTGCACTGAGCTTTTTTTACTTTCTTTTATTTTGCATTAAAACAATAATGACAAAAATCTCAGTCAACAGGATGTAGCTTGTTGAATCAGTAGTTAGATTGTGTCAATGAATGATGAAATATCATATAAATACAGAACAAGTTTTTCCATATATGGACAAACTGCATCGAAAAGAGGAACAGTAAATGCAAAAACAAAGCTCATTGACAGGGATAGACGTGGAATATGACATTTGCTTAATGCCATTTAAGTTCAGCTTCCAAAATTATTACATAACCGAGTCAGCACCTTTGTGACCCAGTGTCAGCAAAAACTACATGTGAAGATCTTTAAACACACCACTCCTTATTAGGTGCTTGATATTAATATAATGTGAGGTGTTTCTGTTATTTTGTAAGGATGGTGTGAGTCATCCTAGAAACAATTTAAAAACAAAATTCTGACTTTTACAGTCAGAATTCTGAGATTAAAGGTCAGTATTCTGAGTTTCAAAGTCAGAATCCTGAGATTCAAGGACAGAATTCTGAAATTAAGTCAGAATTCAGAAATTAAAAGTCAGAATTCTGAGATTAAAGGTCAGTATTCTGAGTTTCAAAGTCAGAATCCTGAGATTCAAGGACAGAATTCTGAAATTAAGTCAGAATTCAGAAATTAAAAGCCAGAATTCTGAGATTTTAAAGTGATTGTAAAGGTTTGTTTTAAAAAATAACAAACATGTTATACTTACCTGCTCTGTGCAATGGTTTTGCACACAGCGGCACAATCCTCCTCTTTTCCATGTGCCACCATAGGAAGCTGGTTCCTATGGTGGCACACGTGTGGACTTGATCCCAAGCCGCACTGTGTGTGTCTCTATTGATACACAGTGCAACTTGGCCCCTGCTCTCTCTCCCTTGTCACTGGATTTGATTGACAGCAGCAGGAGCCAATGGTTTCCACTGCTCTCACTGAGTCAAGTGACAAGGGAGAGAGCTACTCTCGGGCACAGCACTGAATTAAGATTGGGCTCTGGTAATTATTTAGGGAGTGCTCGGGATGGGGGAGGGGCAGCTGCACATACAAGATTTTATATCTTGCTCCAGAGCATGCATTAAAGTAAATAAAAAACTGAAGCCTTTACAACAACTTTAGGCAGAATTTTGAGATGAAAAGATCATGCGATTATTTGATTGTTAGTACACAGCAATCGTCTGAAAAGAATAGAAGGGACAAGCACAAAAATTTTTATCGTGTGATACCGGATCGTACGATTTTCATTTAACCGGTACAGTAGTCTCCTGAATAGACAATACAAATACATTCCATTCTTCAGATTTCTTATTCCGTCATTAAAGAATTATCGTAACTTTAGTAACCTCTTCACTTTTGATATGAGACTAGCTTGCAGAAAAAAATGATCATTTGTCCAATATTCGAAACGTGTATATTGGTCATTAGCTGACACTTTAGGCTTAGGGCCCATTCACACTGTAACACAGGTGCCTTGACAGAATGTTGTGCATTGATCCATTACTATGAATGGCTTGTTAACGTACTTCAGTGAATAAAAAATTACCTGTGCTATTTTTGGTAATGCAGTGCACCACAAATCACATTCCCATTTGGACATCGGGGTGCCCTATAGCGCAGAGACATTTTCACTTACTATATATGTGTGTTGGGGAGCCATTCAGAATAAGTGGCACTGCACTGCAACACACGTGTGCACATGCATGACCACGCATTGCATTAACACATGGTAAAACCTTTTTTTATAAAACTGCTCGGCAGATGTTCGCCAATAATATACTGGTTTCTTTTTCAATATAATGAGTTCTAATATTTTTTCTAAAATCTGTAAATAATTGTTATATAAGAAAAAACAGATTCTACAATTTTTTGGTTTATTAAAAAAAAATTGTTAGTTGGCTGGATGTCATGATGCTCAAAGGGCAGGATAGGTGTAATTTGAAGTATGTAATGCTGCCAGTTTATAAACATCACTTTTAAAGTTTAAAGTATCAGCAGAAACCCTTATCTTCTTAAGTGGCTCATGAGGCCCATTCGAATATGCAAATGTACACTTCCAGATCTAAATTTTGGCAGATACACCTGGCATTGTGCAGAAAGCATGACAGTAAGGGAAGGAGGAAATGAGGCAGGTGAAAGCTCTCAATCTCAGATGTGTCTGGGGGTCAGGGCTTTCCTGGGCATTCAGTATAGTATATAAGTGAAAAATGTCAGATTTACCAGTTGGCATAAAAAGTACGAGTGATGCCATTCCCATTCTTTGTCTAAATGTTTACATTCTCTTTTCTGTGAAACAATGTGCTGGCACCACCACAAGTACTATAGAGATCAATGGGAGAGCCAATTTTTCCTCTCCGATCCTTAACTATCGGAGTTAGTTAATAGAAACTTATAGAATGCAGACTAAATAGAATGCAGAAACTTAACAGTAAAGCTACCCAATGCAGCAGAGAGCGGGGTGTGGAAGAGTGTAAAGAAAAACTGCACTGCATCTGAGGTCTGATTTTTTTATTATATTTTTTTAATTTTGTATAAATTTTACAGGATGTTAGGGATAAGTCCTGTACTGGAGATATATTTTCCCACTATTTGGGCTGTGGTCCCTTTAAGAGAGAGCTCTGGAAACATTTTTAGTGTTCAGGGGTTCTCACACATGTGGCTGAGAACTTGCAGGGTAGTCTGGTTGGAGAAGAGAGGACTGATTTACAGTGTGCTCTGAATTGGGAAGGACTAATTTCAGACCTTGAATTCAGAAGTTCAGAGAGACTTTGGGTGGGAAAGAGCCTCCAAACCCTGAATACAGGGACTTTGATCCCAAAAAGGTTAAAGGGTTAATCCACCTGCAAGAGAGGTTTTAAAAGCAGCAGGAAGGAGTCAGCACCTGTCTATGAGGTGGAGTGGAGTAGTCCACAGTTGTGAGAAAATGTTGGCTGTCTTGTGACTCAGATTCTATTTTGCTGAGCTCCTGTGGCTTGTCTTCTACACCAAAACAGATAAGAATCATAAATCCGAGTGTGGGAAGAAGAAACTGGTGGTGAGCCTTGCTGTGGTCTTAATTATACCAGGACTATGGACTGTTTGCCTTTGTTTTTGCTAAAGGAAACTATTTGTGTTTGCTTGTTTTGGGAGACCACTATTGGCTTTTACAAAGTGGCTGGCTGGTGATCTTGAGCTCTCCATATTACAACATTTGTTTTTGGTATGGAGGTGGGGGGACCACTACAAGGTAAAAAGGTACAGCTGTATTTCAAAGGTTTGTATCTCATTAGTGAACATACATTTTCTATAACATACATTTCTCCTTATTGCAGAGGAAGTGTAAAGAGGCCACTTTGGTTGTGCTGAAAATGTTTTTTTCTTGTTTTCCAATGATGACAAAATTCTTAGTCAACAGGATGTGGCCTGGTGAATTAATAGTCACTTACTGATGAAATGTCAAAATACAGGACAAATTCTCTGAATCTGCCTAATTGTAAATCTACAGTCAGGTCCATAAATATTGGGACATCGACACAATTCTAACATTTTTGGCTCTATACACCACCACAATGGATTTGAAATGAAACGAACAAGATGTGCTTTAACTGAAGACTGTCAGCTTTAATTTGAGGGTATTTACATCCAAATCAGGTGTGAACGGTGTAGGAATTACAACAGTTTGCATATGTGCCTCCCACTTGTTAAGGGACCAAAAGTAATGGGACAATTGGCTTCTCAGCTGTTCCATGGCCAGGTGTGTGTTATTCCCTCATTATCCCAATTACAATGAGGAGATAAAAGGTCCAGAGTTCATTTCAAGTGTGCTATTTTTGCATTTGGAATCTGTTGCTGTCAACTCTCAAGATGAGATCCAAAGAGCTGTCACTATCAGTGAAGCAAGCCATCATTAGGCTGAAAAAACAAAACAAACCCATCAGAGAGATAGCAAAAACATTAGGCGTGGCCAAAACAACTGTTTGGAACATTCTTAAAAAGAAGGAACGCACCGGTGAGCTCAGCAACACCAAAAGACCCGGAAGACCATGGAAAACAACTGTGGTGGATGACCGAAGAATTCTTTCCCTGGTGAAGAAAACACCCTTCACAACAGTTGGCCAGATCAAGAACACTCTCCAGGAGGTAGGTGTATGTGTGTCAAAGTCAACAATCAAGAGAAGACTTCACCAGAGTGAATACAGAGGGTTCACCACAAGATGTAAACCATTGGTGAGCCTCAAAAACAAGAAGGGCAGATTAGAGTTTGCCAAATGACATCTAAAAAAGCCTTCACAGTTCTGGAACAACATCCTATGGACAGATGAGACCAAGATCAACTTGTACCAGAGTGATGGGAAGAGAAGAGTATGGAGAAGGAAAGGAACTGCTCATGATCCTAAGCATACCACCTCATCAGTGAAGCATGGTGGTGGTAGTGTCATGGCGTGGGCATGTATGGCTGCCAATGGAACTGGTTCTCTTGTATTTATTGATGATGTGACTGCTGACAAAAGCAGCAGGATGAATTCTGAAGTGTTTCGGGAATATTATCTGCTCATATTCAGCCAAATGCTTCACAACTCATTGGACGCCGCTTCACAGTGCAGATGGACAATGACCCAAAGCATACTGCAAAAGCAACCAAAGAGTTTTTTAAGGGAAAGAAGTGGAATGTTATGCAATGGCCAAGTCAATCACCTGACCTGAATCCGATTGAGCATGCATTTCACTTGCTGAAGACAAAACTGAAGGGAAAATGACCCAAGAACAAGCAGGAACTGAAGACAGTTGCAGTAGATGCCTGGCAGAGCATCACCAGGGACGAAACCCAGTTTCTGGTGATGTCCATGCATTCCAGACTTCAGGCTGTAATTGACTGCAAAGGATTTGCAACCAAGTATTAAAAAGTGAAAGTTTGATTTAAGATTATTATTCTGTTCCATTACTTTTGGTCCCTTAACAAGTGGGAGGCACATATGCAAACTGTTGTAATTCCTACACCGTTCACCTGATTTGGATGTAAATACCCTCAAATTAAAGCTGACAGTCTGCAGTTAAAGCACATCTTGTTCGTTTCATTTCAAATCCATTGTGTGTGGTGTATAGAGCCAAAAATGTTAGAATTGTGTCTTTGTCCCAATATTTATGGACCTGACTGTATGTTCGTTTTAAAGATTTATGGACATACAATTAACTCTTATGACTACTTCATATCTTTCAGTGCAGGAAAGGTAGTCTCCCCTGCAGAGGGCTCCGATGCAAGGCAGGTGAGTATAAAAGCAAATGGGTTAAATTATATTTAAAGGCAAAACTCTTTTTTTCCATTTTGAATACAGTAGAGAAGGTAAAAAAAAAAAACCCTTTCATTTTTGTTTGCCATCCGTGTCCCTATACAAAGCTTTTATTTTCTACCCTTTAGACACAACAGTAAAAAAAAGGTGTTGACAGTTATGATATGGAGGTCAGCAGGAGGAGCCAGGGAATACTGCGGAGGACACCAGACTTCAGGGAAAGATATCTATTGAATGGAATTGTGTTTGATGGCACAGGTGGAAAGCCAGATAAGTATGCCACAAAGAGTTGCTATAAAATAAAACTTTACCTTTGGTACAAGCTGTCTTTTAAGTTATGCCTCCACCCTTCCTGATTACCGCCTCTGTTCTAATAATCTGCATTCTGCAGCTCTGCCCAGAGCTGCATAGGATTTCTTCCAAAAAGTAACCTTTTTTTTTTCATCCTACCAATGTATGCTGCGGTCCCATTAATTTCTATTAGGAGAACCATACTTTACCAATCAAACAGATGGTCATTATGAGTATGTGTCTCTGTGAGAATGAATGTGGCCAGGGTGCACAGGAAGTGGAGGCACTTTCAAAAGAGAGGCTGTGCAACTTTAAACATGGTTGCACAGTGGATGTACTGTAGCTGGGGCAGGAAGAGAGGAAAGTATTGGACAAGGTGGGCTGCACCTAGGGGAGTTGGAGAATACCTTGAAGGTCAAGTGTTACCCATGGTACAGTTGGGTAATGTATGCTGTGGCACCATTAATTTCTATTAGGAGAGCCATACTCTACAGGTCAAACGGAGGCCACCATGAGTATAGGTCCCCATAAGAATGAATGTGACTACGACACGTGCACACGATGACAAATATCTGGTGGAGGCCCTTTCAAAAGAAGGGATGTGCAACTCCAAACATGGTCACACAGTGGATATAGCTGGGTCAGGGAGAAAAGAAAGTATTGGACTAGGTGGGCTGCACTGAGGGAGGTGAGGGAATGCCTTGAAGGTCACATTTAACCTAAGGCACCCTTTAATCCTACTATACGGGTGACTAGTGTTTAAATTAGGCTGCTAGAGTGCATTAACAACCTTACTAAACATTTGATTAGTTAGCTGCCACTATTTTTAATAGAGCCATTGCCATCTCTGCATTTTTGTAACAGTTTGTAAAAGACTTTGTGCTGTTTCGAAATGTATGCATGTTTTAATTCATTTAATTAAAAACATGCATTACATACTCGCCTTTATAGTAATGCATGTAAAAAGTTTGTAACACACATTTTACATGTTTTTGAAAAAAAAAAAAAAAACCCGAACGCCTCTGTTAACTTCCTGCTTCTTCCTGGAGGAATGTGTGCTGTTTTCTACTTTCAGTAATCTACTGGTGTTGAAAATAAATTTATCACCTCAAAAAATTGAATTACTTAAAATACAGAAATGTTCCCCTTTGAAACTCACTCTAGTTGAAATGGAAATTACCCAGTGGATGTATTTGATGCTAACAGTTGTATGACTTATGGTTGTTGTTTTACATCAATGTTGAGTATGTTACACCTGCCATCAATCTCTTTGCCAAACACGTTTGGTCTGCTTTTTTTTCCATTGTATGTACAAGTTTGAAACTTAATAAAAATTTATTTAAAAAAAAAGGAAAATAAAGCTAATAAATGCATATAGAGGAAATAGCCCAGCTTTAGGTTTTCATTAAGGTATTGCCACAGTACACCAAGCAATTCTACTCCCCTCCATTATCGTAGAGTTCCACATGCACCTTTATATACTCGCTCCTCTAGTACCATTGGCTACCTAGCCCCTTGTTGTAAAGGTAGGTAGAATGCAATTGACACACCTAGACTGTTTCCTTTATATAGGACCAGCTCACTCTTCCATTTTTATTCTTTCTTGGGGATGTAAAATACCTCTGTAAGATTGCATAACGTACCTGCTCTGTTGTTTGTCCATGTTTCATCTTCATCAAAGTGAGCATCACCACCAATTCCAGTGCCTGGAAAGTAGGCATGTGCCAGTACTCCATTACGACCATCAAAAGCCGATCCATCACTGTGAGCTTTAAAACAATTATTTCACGTTATAAAATAATAAAAACTATTGTAATGTAAAATACATCATCCCCTAGTCATTATTTGTTTTCATAAAGAATTGTTCCATATTGCAATATAAGAAACGAGAGAAAAGACTGCCAGTATATAAGCCAAAAACAATATAAAAGTCAGGAATATGGAGTGCATGGCTGTGCCCAAAGATCTGCACATGTGCATAGTGCAGCTTGTGATCCTGTGCATAGAATGAAAACTGTGCTTGCATCCGCATGTGCGCATTAACATGAATTAAAGTGCACGTAGAGCATTTGCTTTTGGCACCCAGAGGTCTTTTTAAAGCATAGCAGAACTAACTACAATTGCTGACTGGTCATCATGAAATCTTGTCTTTTAGCCAGCTTGCCTCCTTTACTCTACTTTATCCTTATCTCCCATTGCTGACCTTGGCTTGTGTCCTGGCTTGATGGTGAAAAATTATGAAAGTGAAAAATTGCAAAAATGGTCTGGCCACCTGAACTTAAAAGTGGAGTCCAGAGCCTGGTAGCAAAAGGGTTAGTGATTTTTACACAGCTGCATTTATTTAATTTTTATATCTACTTAGAGTTCATCTCTAATTAGTTAGATTTCACTGAAGAGTGCTGTCAGTCCTGTTAAAGTAGCCAAATGACAGGTGTTCCTTCCAGGTGAAGATATCTGCCTCCAATCAGCATAAACAGACATATAGAAAGGGTTCCTGTTTTATTTTTTTAAGATTTATTTACTTGCCTGATCTGGAGAACTGAATAAGTATATCAGCTTGACCATTTCCAACTTGAGTAAAACTAAGTGGTGTGACTTGGCTCCAGGCATCAAAAGCACGCTTTATTGCATCAGTAACAACATTCTGGGGCAGGTCAGGAGTGAAATTCATAATTCTGCAAAATAAAGCAATGCAATAATAGAATTGAATAGTACATATTCAGGAACCTCAGCAAGCTAAGGTAAAATTCTACATATATAGTGCAAGGCCCTAGGGAAGTAGATATGGCACTAGGTTCCCACATATGCAAAGTGCGTGGCTCTGGAATATTCATTCTGAATGGAGAAATGTGGTTTTTCAATTTTTTCCAGGTTTTGGTACTCCCAGATTGGGTTCTGGAGTTTGGAGATTTGAAAGAGTTTTGGGGTGGAAGAACCCAATTTCCAGGTCTTGCAGGAGACTGGCAAACTGTGAGTGCAGGGGTACAGAATCCTTAAAATAAAGGACATAGAGCTCTCGTTAGGAGACTGATGTGTTCCACCCAAAAGTCAGGAGGCCTCAGGCTATGAGACAGAAGGGCTTTATATGGGTGTCAAAAGAGTCTTCTATTGAAAGGCCAAGGCATGGAGTGATAGAATGCAAGAGGTGCATGGCCTGTATTTGAGCACAGTAGGTACTGTACTTGTTACTGGTGTCCTTCGACAGCTCTATTGTCTTCACCATAGTGGAGTTTGAAGTGTGACTGTTTGAGGTTGTGTGGACAGGTGTCTTTTTATACTGATAACAAGTTCAAACAGGTGCCATTGATACAGGTAATGAGTGCAGGACAGAGGAGCCTCTTCAAGAAGAAGGTACAGGTCTGTGAAAGCCAGAAATCTTGCTTGTATGTAGGTGCTTATTTATTATTTATTTATTTAGTTATTTATTTATTTTTTTAGTATGTAAAATTATTTATTTATTTATTATGTACTTATTTTCCACCATAATTTGCAAATAAATTCTTTCCAAATCAGCCAATGTGATTGTCTGGATTTTTTTTCTCATTTTGTCTCTCATAGTTGAGGTCTACCTATGATGCCAATTACAGGCCTCTCTCATCTTTTTAAGTGGGAGAACTTGCACAATTGGTGGCTGACTAAATACTTTTTTGCCCCACTGTGTATATATATATATATATATATATATATATATATATATATATATATATATATATATATATATATATGTATCGATATGACTGACTTACTTGCACAAGAAAATAGGAGCTATGAGCTGATTGCTAAGGCAACATTTCAGCTTCACCTTTCATCTAATTCAACAAAATACTCTACATAATTCTACATAATACTACTTTTATCAGTTAGTCTTAAAAAATAGTGTTACTGTAGATACAAAGCTTACATTTTATTCCATAATTTTCCTGTTTAAAATGACACTACAGTTTGGCACAAAGCATCGCAAAGTTTTTTGACACTAAAAAAACGAACAAGACAATTAAAAATGAAACAAAATTTAAATATTAATGGTTGGAAAAACAGAAAAACAAATCCAGCAGGAAAATAGAGGGATAAGGTGAAGGTTTTCTCTGGGAATCAGCTAGGGCTGATTAGGGTAAATTAAGGGGTTATTTAGGAAGACATTTTATTTTGAATATATAACAGTTGCAAATCAAAGCTCATCCCTTCGATTTGTAGATGAAGTAAACACAAAAGTAGCAATGTTACTTTGTATCTCTCTATCATGCTTCTGAACAGTGTTCACAACACTATGCCAAAAAGTAAATTTTTTGACTGCTGCCCCAGGTTTCCTTTTTCATGGTGGCTTCTTCCTCTTGAAGCGTTCTATCGAGCCACCCTTGCCTGCAGGGACTATAGTTGTGTCTTCCTATACTGTGTGCCTCTATAGAAACACACCACCCCTATAGTATAAGACACACCACCCCCGTTCCTCCTCTTCCCCTTTCCCTCTTTCCCTTCTCCAAGCTACAGACTGATTTGAAGCTGTACTGTTCACTGTTAACTTTCTTGTAAAGACTGGAAGTTCAGGGAAGCAGCCCTTAGACAGCCGAAGCCAGCAGCAAAGAAAGTTGTAAACTGCAAGTGTTTGGAAAGAAGTTTAAGAAATAGTTTGCTGGGGAATATTTATTTTATTGTGCTCAATGTGTTAAGCTAAAAAACACTAAAGCCTGTTTCACACCAATGTGCTTTTTTCAGAAATGCACTACAGTCCATTTAACATGGTTTCCTATTGAACATGTTCACATCTATGCTTTTTTGAACTGCTGCATTTTTAGAAAGGGTCAGGGACTTTTTTAGAAAGAAGGATTTTTGCTACAATAGAGTTCAATGGAGAAGCTACTGAAATGCATGTAGTGCATTTTTGCCACGTATTTGCTGCGTTTTCCCTTTTTATTCTGCAACAAAAAAATGTCGACTTTAACAAAGAAAACGCAGTAAAAACACGGCAAAAACACAGCAAAACATGCATTCAAAAATGCAACAAATGGACAAAAAGCCCAATGCATTGGTGTGAACCAGGCCTGAGGGTTTAATTCTACTTTAACTAATTACCATCACCATTAGCAAATGACCATCAATCATGATCTGGTATACTTCAGCAGAAAAGATTCTTTTTAAGTGCTATAAGTTACTGTACTTGAAAATGTGAACTTTATGTTAAATATGGATTTTTTGATGGCACTGTACTGTAATCGCCCTCTGAACGCTGTCCCCAGACTCACGAATAGAGCTTTGTACAACAGAATTATGGGAGCAGGAACCCTACAGCTATGTGAGCACTAATTCTCATAAATCCAGGAGAAACCTACCTGTAGGTCAGGGAAGATTGTCTCCATCTTGGTCTTCCGGGGACAGATCTGACCTCTGCCACGTCAGGCATGCCACATCGGGGAGTTTTTCATCATATTCATTGTACTTGTGTCCAACCTTCCTGTTACCGTCATTCCAAAGAATCTTTGCATTTCTCTGATCCTCTCTACAAATGTGTTTCTTGATTTGTTGTTAAATGTATAGAAATTTTTTAGGTAGTCCTTGTTAAAAAAAAAAAAAATTTGCTTTTACAACTTATAGTGGTATCTTCAAAAATGGTGTTAGCTTGTGTTAACTTATGTATAAACAAATGATATTAAAAATATAATTCAACTATTATTGTACATGAACCCATTTGCCCCCCAGAGGATTTACCCCCCTTTCTGACCAGGCCATTTTTTGCGATTCGGCGCTATTTTATTTTAACTGACAATTGTGCGGTCATGCAATGCTGCACCCAAATTAAATTTGTCTTTTTTTTTCCCCCACAAATAGAGCTTTCTTTTGGTGGTATTTGATTGTCTGTGCGGTTTTTTTATTTTTTGTACTATAAACAAAAAAGACCGATGATTTTGAGAAAAAAACAATATTTTTGACTTTTTGCTATTAAACACGTCCAGTAAAAAAAAATTTAAAAAATCAATTTAGTCATAAATTTATGCCAAAATGTATTCTGCTTCATGTCTTTGTTTAAAAAAAATGCCAATATATGTAAATTAATTGGTTTACATGAACGTTATAGCGTTTATAAATGGCAGTATATATACTGGAATTTTTTTTTTTTACTAGTAATGGTGGCAATCAGTGACTTATAGCGGGACTGCAGTGGGCATTCTGACACTGGGGGGAACTGACTTGGTGTCACTGACATCCCCAGTGATACCAATACAGTGATCAATGCTAATAAAAAGCACTGACACTGAACTAATGGCACTGGGCAGGAAGGGGTTAACATGTGGGGTGATCAATTGGTTAACTGTTTGCTGTGTGCTGTTTTACAATGGGCTGTGTCTGTGCTTTCTACTGTACACTGCTTTGTATGGCTTTGCTGTGCAGCGCTATACAAAGCAGTCTGCAGGAGCTGACAGGGGAGAGATCTGTGTTGTTTATACACAGGTCTATCCCCCATTGCAGATACTCAGCGATCACCGGGTGCCAGCTAGAAATCACCGGCTGGGACCCGGTGATTTTGCGCACCCGTGCCACCCTGTAGCGCGGAAGGCGCGGAAGCGGTTAAACCAGATGAAAGCTCTAAATTCAGGTCCACTTAAAGTAAATCTGTTACTGTAGGCCGCGTTCACATGGGCGTATCAATGTGTACTCCTGTGTGTGCCAGAGCTGTCTTTGCTCACATGGGATTCAAAGGTGTTCCGTTCTTTTATGTACAGGCAGTCCAATTCCTGTCATCTGGGATGCAGCGACACAGCCGCTGGTCCCAATTTGACATCCATGCATGACAGTGTGAGTTCGGGGACACATACCTGCATGGATATCCAATTGACATGAATGGGAGTGGGAACTGGGACAATCACCCAATTTTCACATATGATATGATTGAATAATGGGTGAAACTTGGGTCAAAGTTCTGTAAACCGTCAATGAAAACCGTCAATGAAAAACGAATGAGGATTCATATGATCTTTTTAACCACAATGCACAGTAACCCTAGGTTATTGCTTGGGGATCCTCACTCAAGCTGTTGGTGTCCTGTAGGATGGATGCCGTTGAAACCGTGAGAGTGGAAGCTGGGGGTGGGTTCGTCCAGACCCAGAGCATTCAAGCAAGATGAGAAGAGACTTCCTGACTGTCGCAGAGCACATCCACATACCACAGTACACAGAACATGGAAGTGCAATTATTTTAGTAAATATAAACTGCTAAACACCTTTTCTCATCAGCAGTTAGATCAGTCTTGTGACTTTTACCAGTGTCCAGCTGAGCACTGGTTTCAGCTTGTAGGAGGAGTTTTAATTCTCCTGTAGCAGGATATAGAACCTCTGACCTCTGTCTGGACAGTGCTGATCACATGCACTCTCCCAAGAAAATAAACTCTCTAGCACTACACACCAAAGTGAGCATGTGCAGCTTGCCCTAGCCTTTGTTCTATCGGAGATATTTGGAAGACACTGGAAGAAGGGGAAGATCAGAGAAGAGAGGATCCAACAGCCTTTTTACACAATGTGGAGGATTAACCCCTTAGGTTCCACAGTGAGTATAACTAGCATGCTTTACTGCATATACAGACTGATTTTACTGATGTGGGTTTAGTAACACTTTAACAGGTCAGGCCAGGCGACCTGGAACAAGGGGTCTGCAGAATTTTCTAATGACCGTAAAATTCACAAGGACTTTAATACCCCATGCACCCTCTGCTACTTCCCCTAAAATCCTTTAGTTTTTTAAATGTAGGGATGAGCTTCCTGTTCCGGTCAACCTTTACGCAGTTCACTCATCACTATTTAATTTCTGGCCTAGCCTTTGAGTTAAAGCCTAAGTTTAGTTGTTTTTTTTTTTTTAAATCAGCATAAGAGACCATAGTTACATTTAATAAGAAGTTTCCCTTGCTGGTGCCCGCTGTCCCAATTGAAATCTGTAATCCTCTGCCCCAACTATCCCCTGCAGCTGTAATCTTTAGGAGCCGCAGGGTTTAATATGTGCTCTGGACAAAGAATGCTGACTATGCCCACTGTTTTTGCAACCCTCTTCCTTTCATTGAAGCTGTACTATTGCTTCCAGCAATGAAAAGCACTCTATGAACGGAGGAGGAGGACCTTTCATTTACCTGCGTGTCCTCAATTCATAGATCGCTTTTCATTTGTTATTTTTAAAATATTTTAAAAGGAGGATTTGAATCTTTTGATTTTCTTGTAAAGGTCATTCCATGTATGGACACAGTCAGCTCACTGCAAAACTAAAATCATAGGGCCCTAAAACAAATTTTAATTGGGGCCCACTTCATAACAAGCAGTATTAATCTCTGGAAATGCTTTTTATTAGATCCAGAGACTCTAAAACAGAATTGAAAATCCCTGCAAGAGAGTACACATACAGTAAGATATTACCTCAGTCAGGGATAAAAGTGCCTGGCATATGTGAATCTACAGTTAGCACAAGGATGGGCCGACCTCTGCCAATCTTAAAGCAAATCTGTAAGCTGTACTTGTAAAGAAGATTGTATATATGTATTTGCTGAGTATTGCTCCATTGAATGGAAATCCTCTGCAGAACTCGTTTCTGAAACAGACTTTATTGGGAATGTCAGTCTACTCTGTGTGAGCTCAGTGGTTTCTCCCATTGTATCCTGTAGTGATTAAAGGTTTGGTTGTAGGCAGGGGCGGACTGACAACTCATGGGGCCCCTGGGCAAAAGGGGATCATGGGGCCCCTGTGTTCTTGCCCAAACTCAAAAAAGCCTTTGAAAAAGGTACCATGGGCATCTCATGGGGCCCCCTACTGACCCCAGGCCCTCGGGCAGTGCCCGAGTTTCCAAATGCTCAGTCTGCCCCTGGTTGTAGGAACCATAGTACATAGTGGGTGGCACAAGAGATCAACACTCCAGGAAGTATTGATTTTAGAACTGACTTCAGGGGAGGATTGCTCTTCCATGCTGGCAATGGGAGATGTAAGTACTGACAATCTTCTTGGAAGGTACAGCTTTTATTGAAAAATTATCAGGAAAAAATTGCCACCAGTCACCCTAATGTACATGCATATAAATATGCATATTGTGAGCTCAATGTGTACGGATTTGCTCACACATCCACCAAGTGGGGTATTTAAATCTGTACCCTGCAAGTTTTTTGCTGAATGTTCTTCAGTCTGGCTCCTGTGATCTTGATCCTGTTACTGACCTTCACATCACCTGACCTGCTTTCGGATTACATGCTTATCTGCCTATGTCTAATGTTTATCTTGATTACCAATCTTGGCTTTGATTATTGACCATGCTTCTGCCCAGTGAATTTGTGCCTTGCTGTCTGTTCTTTGCTGACCTCTGCCTATTCCTTACCTGACTACGACTTGTTATCTTTCTACTTAACTCACTAGACTAAGCTTGGGACCTGACTCAACCTTTAATGAATTTTGCAATCCACAGTGCATTGCCAGCTGTACTCCTGCTCACCTGATAACAGCGCTCTAAAGTTCCACAGTATCAGCAGCTTGGCACTTTTGCCTTTCCTTCAGACCCTGTTTTACCTCCCAGGGGTGCTCGGACAGGAACTGTGCAAATGGCCACCCTTGCTATCTCAGGTTCAGCATACAAGTATGTGACACAAATTAATTCAATCAACAGAATCACTTTAGGGCAGCCTAAATTAAACATAGTATATTCACTTAACTTTATTTTACCAAACATTCAAACTGAACATACCTCTGCAGTCTTGCGATCCTCAGGAGTAAAGTCTCCTTCACTTCCTTGCTTTTCTGCCAATGGCATTGCGAGTATGCCATAGCACAGTGAACACAGGATCAAGATTTTCACTTGGAGTTTCTGCATTGTGGCAGTCAGACTACACAGCCTCTGCTGCCTTTTACGGCATCTTCTTTTATAGTAGAGAGTAAGTCTGGCAAGGGACACATTTCACAATTCACCTGTCCTCTAACCCTCCTTCTTAATATTACATTTATTATCACATATTAGCTTGGATTGACCCATCTTGTTTTATTTCATGTAATCATCTTGTCTAGGAAACTTCCCTTTTTTGCGTAATTCTTTTACTTTAACCCTTTTGCAGTCAGGCCCTGCTCTCCACATTGAACCTCACATGGCCAGACAATTTTTGAAATGATTGACTTTTTAAATAATTTTTCACTTGCAGGTTTCAGAGTTTGTAAAAGATCCCCCAGGCCATACATTTTATAGAAACACAGGCGTATTATAATAAAAAAAGGTGCTACTGATTTTCCTAGGTCCAATGCTAGTTGCACAAATATTTTTCAAAATGATAATGTTGAAAGTATACACTACAATCGTGAACACACAAAAAAACAACATAACTGTCAAAATTCCAACTAAATCCAAAATTGCAAACTTCCTTAGCTTACATAAAGCAGCACCCCTATCTGATTAATTGTAACATGTTACAACTTATTTTGTTAATTGTTAGTATTTTGAATTGTATTTGTTGGGTGAGCAGAAGCCAGTAGAGGGATTGCCAGAGAGAGGTAGCAGACAATGAACGGTTAGTATGGTGGATTAGTCTGGAAGTGGCATTCATGATGGACTGGAGGGGGGGGTAGCCTATGTAAAGGTATTCCAATGAGGAGGGAGTTGCAATAGTTGAGATGAGAGATAACCAGGGAGTAAATCAGAAGCTTTGTGGTGTCATTGGTTAAGAAGGGGCATATTTTGGAGATGTTGTGAAGGTTAAGGTGGATAGATTTTCACAGTGATTGGATTTATGACTGAAAGGAGAGTTCAGAGTCCATGATTACACCCTGGCATGCGGGGAAAGAGTGATAGTTACGTCACCGATCTCGACAGAGAAGTCAGAGGAAGGGACTAATGGGGAGGAATTATTATAAGCTCAGTCTGGACAGACTGAGTTTAAGAAAGTGGTGTGACATCCATATTGATATTTCTATTAGTGAATCAGTGATATGCGAGGAGACTGATGGAGTGTGCTGAGGGATAGAAAGATAGATTTGCGTGTCATTGGCATAGGAAAGGTATTGGAAGCCATGGAAGGCTTTTAGCTGACCCAGGGAGAAAGTGTAGATCAAGAATAAGAGAGGTCCAAGAACCAGGGCCGGTGCTAGAATATTTTGCGCCCTGGGCAAGACCAGCTGCTTGCAAGGCCCCCCCCCAAAAAAAAAATACACATTTTTAACAACAGTAGAAAATATTAAATCAACAAAACCTGAAACTGCTAAATTGCTTTTAATTTGCAAAAATAAGTGCCATAAGATGCTACCAGCACCAATATTGAAGACAAAATCTGTGACATGGAAGAACTGTATCTGTGGCTGGCAGTGGCAGGGTGACAGTTGCAGTGAGTGGAGGTTAATGGGTCCACACTCCCAGGCTGGAATTCTCAAGTAATTCGGGGGGGGGGGGGGGGGGGGGGAATAAAACACTGTGACAGTAGGCAGCTGAACTGAGTGATTCCATACTGTGACAGATCTTACACAGCACACCACCATCAACACTGACACAGATCAGCAGGCACTAGAAGAGCAGAGTCAGACATTACCTTGCTCTACAGATGCAGCTCTGCCTGTGCTGATGAATGGGAAGAGAAGGGCTGGAACTCCACAGTGATCAGCAGCCACAAGCCAGCTTGCAGTAGGGGACTGAGTCTGAGAGGAACAGTGGAAGGAGTGGCAGCTCAGCTGCTACACTGGCCCCAGCACCTGGCATGGATGAGGGATCATTTATGATGTGGCAGCATCCCACACAGAGCGAGTACCAGCCTGTGCCCAGGCGCCCCTAGTTGGCAGTGCAACCCTAGGCAGCCACCTAGTTTGCCTAGTGGAAGCACTGGCCCTGCCAAGAACAGAACTTTGGAGGACCCCCACGGAAAAATGAAGAGGAGAGGAGGAAGTAGAATTGTAAGTGACACTGAAGGTGTAGTGGGATAGGTAAGATGAGAATCAACGAAGAATACAGTCACAGAGACCAAAGGAATGAAGTGTTTTGAGGAGGAGGGGTGGTCAGCTGTATCAAAGGTAGCAAAAAGGTCCAAGAGTAGGAGTACAGACTAGTGACCATTGGATTTAGCCATTAGTAAATTATTTGTGAGTTTTCAGTTTCTGTGGAAAGTTACAGGCAAAATCCAGACTGAAGGGGATCAAGGTTATTCTTAGTGAGGTGGTAGTTCAGGTGGTTGTAGACTCTACTACCTTCTGCTTCTGTGCCTCTAGTTGTCTGTCTATTACACAGTACAATGTAGAAGAAAACCTGAGGGATCATGTCGCTGATTCCCAGCTTGCCATGACTCAATATTCTGGTTGCCTCTTCAAACAGTGACAACACACTGATGAGCCACTGTGGTGATAGTGAAAAGTGGTGAAAAAAACTACATCATCAGAACCAAAGTATTTGCACAAATACTCATTTACAGCCCTCTGATGCAGCTACTATAGCATTGCTAGGTCCAGTTCCAAGAGGAGGGCATATTGCATATAAGGTGGCTGCCAGGCAGCTGGGGTTCCTGCTGAATTTTAGCTAGCTGAGAAGTGGCTGTGTATGACTGCCTGAAGTAGCCACATAATTTACTGGCCTGCTGCAGGACATTCTGGAAACCAGGGTACCTAATTAGGAACTGCTTCAAAATCAGGCTGAGGATGCCAGTCACAGCACGTGTGCGAACATTTTTCCTGCAGAAGGGTTGGCTGCAGTTTGGTGTCATTGTCACACATGACCTTTCTTGGCACAAGATGGTGTGGGGTCCTATCCCTCAGGTATACTAGCTTCCAAAACAAGTGGCATAATTTTGTGTGGACATTTACATTCCCACCATCACCAAGTTGTATGACAAGGGATGAAACCAACAGTTCCAGCAGTGTGTCCAGTCTTGCGTCTGTCCCAGTTGAAAATTTACCCAGCAGGCCTTGAAGGAGATGTAACAATCCTGCTCATGCTTGCTGGAACATGTCTGTGGTCAAAGGGACCCTTTTGCTGACCGATTAATTTCCACTTGCTGTTGGAGGGTACAGATGGCCTTCTGAGGGAAAAAATGGCAGCTGGGAACCTGCCACTGTAGTACAGCACAGGTCGCTGACCCTCCTTACCTATTCATGTGCCATATGATTTACCCTTGTCACTCTTCCATCCCTATCTCTTGAGCTAGTAGATGTAGCAGTGGATACAGAAGGAGATTCTTTTTGAGTGGTGGAAGAGATAGAAAATGAAAAGGAGGAGGATTGTGAACCTTTGGCTGCTGACTGGTACCATTTATTTGTCTCCTCATGCACGTGATACCAAAATGACTGTAGACAGAGACTGCAAACTACTACTGTGCTGTCTGCAGCACATATATGAAAAATCCCCAGACATCTGAGCCCTGGGATTCCAGTCTCCTGCACCCATGGAGCAATGCCATCCCTGCACTTCTCTGCAAGCTACCCCTGGACAATATCCTGCCTTGCTGATGTTGTGCCTCCTTCACTTTCCTCCTCTACTTTCTCAGACACCCAAGTTCAGTCTGCCACTTCATCATCCCCATCCTCCTCATCGCTCGAGCCCAGTTGGCAGTACTACCACTTCATCATCCTCATCCTTTTACTCCATTGAGCCTCTTGGAAATAAGCTGCAGCTTAAGTATCATCACTGGCAATTGGTTTTCCCTCCCTGTTATCCCCAACCCTCTGTTACATGTGCTGTCTTCCTCAACATCTGATAAAATTGACTGATATTGACTAATATCACATTTAGAGATGAGGACACTTCACCTCACAGAAAGAGGAGGGTGCTCATGGTTTGGTCATCTACTCCACCGCCTGCTTCACATGCTCTGGTTGTATAGCATGTCCACTGCCAGAAAAGAAAGGCAGACATGCCCTACCTCTCAAATTCATTGCCTGATCAGAATCTATTCAGGCATAGATCAGTGTACAAAGACTCCTGCTGTCAAAATACAATGTCCCCGTGAGTGGGGATCCCTCCACCCACCTCACTTGTGTAGATGGAGGAATCTGGAGGTTACCCATCTATGGCTACCCTTAGTCTACTTGTGCTATTAGACTGTTTTTAAATGATAAAATATATATTTTTTAAATGACACTGTACATGTGTATTGCATCACAGAAGAGGGACACATCCTTTCTTTCTCTCAGTTTTATACAGTGGCTGCAAATGAGTATGGAAGCAGTGTTGGACTTTTATACACTGCTCAAAAACATTAAAGGAACACTTTGAAAACACATCAGATCTCAATGGGGAAAAATACCATGCTGGATTTTTATACTGATATGGGCTGGGTAATGTGTTAGGAACGTAAGGATGTTCCATTGTTTGATGGAAATGAAAATTATCAACCTACAGAGGACTGAATTCAAAGACACCCTGAAAAGTGAACAAATGATGCAGCAGGCTAGTCCATTTTGCTGAAATTTCATTGTAGCAACTCAAAATGGTACTCAGTAATTTGTATGGCCCCCACATGCTTTTATGCATGCCTTGATCCTCAAGGAACTGCCTGCATACTCTCACCGCATGAGGCCGGGAATTGTTGTGCGCCAGGAGGAACCCAGGACCCACTGCACCAGCGTAGGGTCTGACAATGGGTCCAAAGATTTCATCCTGATACCTAATGGCAGTCAGGGTGCCATTGTCTAGCCTGTAGAGGTCTGTGTGTCCCTCCATTGATATGCCTCCCCAGAACATCACTGACCCATCAACAAAATGGTCATGCTGACTGATGTTACAGGCACCATAATGTTCTCCACGGCTTCTTCAGACCCTTTCACGTCTGTGTGTCACATGTGCTCAGGGTGAACCTGCTCTCATCTGTGGAAAGCACAGGGTGCCAGTGGCAGACCTGCCAATTCTGGTGTTCAATCGCAAATGC